CAATCCCATTCCAAAGTCCAATGGCATTTTTTAATAAGATAGAGAAACAAATCACCAACTTCATACAGAAAAGGAAGAGGCCCTGGATAAGTAAAGCATTACTCAAGAAGCAGAACAAACTGGGAGGCCTCACACTACCAGATTTTAGAACCTATTATACTGCCACGGTAATCAAAACAGCCTGGTACTGGTACAACAACAGATACATAGAACAATGGAACAGAATTGAGAATCCGGACATAAATTCATCCACCTATGAGCAGCTGATATTTAAGAAAGGCCCAAATTCCATTAATTGGGGAAAAGACCATCTCTTTAACAAATGGTGCTGGCATAACTGGATATCCATCTGCAAAAAACTGAAACAAGACCCATACCTCACACCATGCAGGAAAACGAACTCAAAATGGATCAAAGACCTAAGTATTAAATGGAAAATGATAAAGATCATGGAAGAAAAAATAGGGACAATGCTAGGAGCCCTAATACTTGGCATAAACAGAATATGAACCATAAGTAACAATGCACGAACACCAGAAGAGAAACTAGATAACTGGGAGTGCCTAAAAATCAAACACTTATGCTCATCAAAAGACTTCACCAAAAGAGTAAAAAGAAAACCTACAGACTGGGGAAAAAAAATTGGCTACGACAAATCCGTTCAGTGTCTAATCTCTAAAATCTGCAAGATACTGCAAAACCTCAACAACAAAAGGACAAACAACCCAATTTAAAAATGGGCAAAGGATATGAACAGGCATGTCGCCAAAGAAGACATTCAGGTAGCTACCAGACACATGAGGAAGTGCTCACGATCATTAGCCATTAGAGAAATGCAAATCAAAACTACAATGAGATACCATCTCATCCCAATAAGGCTAGCATCAATCCAAAAAACACAAAATAATAAATGCTGGAGAGGTTGTGGAGAGACTGGAACACTTATACACTGTTGGTGAGAATGTAAAATGGTACAGCCACTATGGAAATCGATTTGGTGCTTCCTTGAAAAGCTAGAAATAGAAGTACCATACAATCCAGCAATCCTGTTCCTTGGAATATATCCTAGAGAATTAAGAGCTGTCACAAGAATGGATATATCCACACCCATGTTCATTGCAGCACTGTTCACAATAGCTAAAAGATGGAAACAACCTAGGTGTCCATCGATGGACAAACAGATAAATTATGGTATAGTCACACAATGGAATACTATGCAATGATGAAGAACAACGAAGAATCCGTGAAACATAACATGGAGGATTCTGGAAGGTATTATGCTGAGCGAACTTAGTTGCAAAAGGACAAATATTGCATAAGACCACTGTTATAAAAACCCAAGAAAAAGTTTAAACACAGAAGAAAACATCCTTTGTTACTTATGAGGATGGGGAGGGAGGGAGAGGGGTATTCACTAACTAGACAGTAGACAAGAATTGTCTCAGGTGAAGGGAAGGACAGCACACACTACAGGGGAAGTCAGCACAACTGGACTAAACCAAAAGCTAAGAAGTTTCTTGAATACAAGCAAACACATCAAGGAACAGAGTAGCAGGGGCAGGGGTCTGGGAACCATGCTTTCAGGGGACATCTAGGTCAATTGGCATAACAAAGTTTTTTAAGAAAATGTTCTGCATCCCACATTGGTGAGTGGCGCCTGGGGTCTTAAAAGCTAGCGAGCGGCCATCTAAGATGCATCAATTAGTCCCAACCCACCTGGAGTAAAGGAGAATGAAGAACACCATGGACACAAGGAAAGTATTAGCCCAAGAGACAGAAAAGGCCACATAAACCAGAGACTTCATCAGCCTGAGACCAGAACTAGCTGGTGCCCAGCTACCACAATGACCGCCCTGACAGGGAACAAAATAGAGAGTCCCTGATGGAGCAGGAGAAAAGTGGAGTGCAGAACTCAAATTCTAGTAAAAAGACCAGACTTAATGGTTTAAGTGAAACTGGAGGGACCCCGGAAGACATGGCCCACGGGCTCTCTGTTAGCCCAAAACTAAAACCATCCCCGAGGCCAACTCTTCAGACAAATATTAGACTGGACTATGGGACATGAAATGATAGTCGTGAAGAGTGTGCTTCTTAGCTCAAATAGATACATGAGATTAAATGAGTAGCTATCGTCCAGAGGCAAGATGAGGAGACAGAGAGGGTCAGGAGCTGGTTGAATGGACACGGGAAATCCGGGGTGGAAAGGAAGAGTGTGCTGTCACAGTATAAGGAGAGCAAGTAAAATCACAAAACAATGTACATATAAATTTTTGTATGACAGACAAACTTGAATTGTAAACTTTCACTTAAAGCACAACAATAAAAAAAAAATCAATTGACAATAGATGTGTGGGTTTATTTATGAGCTTTCAATTCCATTCCATTGGCGAATATGTCTGTATATTGGTACCTGACTCTTGATTACCATAGCTTTACACCATGCCTTGTGATCAGGCAGTGTGAGTCCTCCTACTTTGTTGTTTCTCAGCACTGCTTTGGCTATCTGGGGCCCTATATAGTTCCACTTAAATTTAAGATTGGCTTTTCCATTTCTACAAAGGATATTGGAATTTGTTGGGTTGCATTGAATTTATATGTAGCTTTGGATAATATTGACATCTTAAAAATAGTAAGTCTTCCAATCTATGAAAATGGAATGTCCCTAGATTTATTTAGGACATCTTTAATTTCTTTCAGTAATATTTATAGTTTTCAGTGTACAAGTCTTTTATATCTTTGGTTAAATTTATTTCAAGGTATTTTATTACTTTAGATGATTTGCAAGTGAAATTGTTTCCTTAATTTTCTTTTTCTAATGTTCTTTGCTGATATATAGAAACATGGTTGATTTTTGTGTGTTTACCTTGTATCCAGTCATAAAGAATTCTTTTATTAGTTCTAGTAGCTTTCACGTGGATTCTTTGTGATTTTCTATCTACAGGCATGACATCAGCAAAAAGGGGTAGTTTTACTTCTAATTTCCCTATTTGGATACGTCTTATTTCTTTATTTTGCCTAATTGCTCTGGCTAGGACTTCCAGTATAAAGTTGAATACCAGCTGTGAGAGTGGGCATCCTCATTTTGTTCCTGATCTTAAATCTCTCAGTCTTTCTCTATTTGGTGTGAGATTAGCTGTGGACTTGTCCTAAATGCCTTTTATCACTTGAGGAATTTCCCTTATACTCCTAACTTGTTGAGTGTTTTTTATCATGAAAGGGTGTTGAATTTTCATCAAATAACTTCTCTCCATCAATTGAGATAATCATGTAGTTCTTTTCTTTTGTTCTATCAGTGTGGTATAATCCATGGATTGATTTCTAATGCTGAACCACATTTGCATTCCTAAAATAAAATATACTTGACCATGATGTATAATCCTTTGCTAGTATTTTGTTTAAGATACTTTCATCTACAGTCATAAGGGATTTTGGTGTGTAGTTTTTGGGTTTTTTTTTCATGTAGTGTCACTGTCTGGCTTTGATATCAAAGTTAATACTAGCCATGTAGATAAGTAGGAAGTCTTCCATCTTCTTTAATTTTTCAGATAAGTTTAAGAAGTATTGGAGTTAACTCTTATAAATGTTTGGTTTAATTCCCCGGTCAAGCCTTCTGGTCCAGGGCTTTTTTTTTCTGGGCGATTTTGATTACTGGTTCAATCTTGTCACTCCTTATGGGTTTGTTTAGGTCTTCCATTCCTTCTTGAGTCAGTGTAGGAAGTTTATATATTTCCTGGAATTTTTGTGCATTTCATCTAGGCGGTCTAATTTGTTGGTGTACAATTGAGGGGCAGGGCATTTTTCCTATGTAATTAACCACAGGGACCGGATAGGACATTTGCTGTACATTAAGGATGTCAGAACCACTGCCAATTAACTGTAGGGTCATGGAAACCATGTGAATGTGGAAGCATACCCTAGAATGAATCCAGAACATCCTGGTCTTCCTCAGCCATGATGTCCCTTCTTGAATATTGAAGTTTCAGCACCTACTGTGTGTCAGCTGAATCTCTGTTCACGCAATAACCTTCATTAATTACTTCGCTTTTGATGCCTGCATTGGATCTGGCATTGCAAATACCAAGATGGCAAAGAACTAAACACTCCCCTTAAGAAACTCACATTTTCGCAGGAGTGAAAAATAAATAATCATGGAATTATGATTCAAGGTGATTTTTGCTTAAATCAAAGCAAGACTATGATAAATATGATGTTGAGGAAATCAGTCAAGAGCAAGATTCTACTGCTTAAGGGGATCACAACATTTTAAGGAGAAAATGACATTTGACCTAGGCGTTAAAGGAAGTATAAAAGAAGTTCAACTTAGCCAATGAAAGAGTATGAAATAAAGCTTGAAACTGCATGGTGTGTTGGAAATTGATGAAGAGTGGGTATGGTTAGAGCTGAAGGTGTAAGGTGTGAAGATGGAGAGAAGATCACAGAAGTCAGACTAGGAACATAATGCGAAGAAACAGTCAACCAGTTTGACCCTTAGCCCATAAAACAGCCTCCGTCAGTCATTTAAAGTTGTAAAGTATGGGAGTGTCATGTTTAGAGGTGTGCTTTTGAAAGTACATGAGGGAAAAATAATCTTTGACCGAATTTATGTGAGAGATACAGAGAAGAATACAGATATATGAGCCCCCTCTTCTTAGACCTTCTCCCTTAAATATGCTTGGACAAGAAATGTAGTTGTATTTTGAGGAAAAGATTGATGGAAATTTGAAATGTCAAAATAACTGGGATACCTAAAGGAATACTTTGTATAGAGCTCAAAATAAATATTTCTTGAATAACGGTTTTTGTTGAGATAAGGCATTATCTGGATAGCAAGTTTGTTCCTCCTTCTGCCCATCTATCTATGCAACCAGCCTTCTGTCCATCCTGTCTTCCTTCCATCCATGTATGTAATTATTCATCAAATAATTACTGCATATTCTCTTTGTGCCAGATAAGAAACATAGTGCTCAAGGAGTATCTAACTATGTGTTTGTTATTTTTAGGAAAAAGAATTTGCCTGGGAGAGGGCTTAGCCCGCATGGAGCTGTTTTTATTCCTGACTACCATTTTACAGAAATTTACCTTGAAGCCTCTGGTTGACCCAAAAGACATTGACACCACCTCAGTGGCCAGTGGATTTGTCTCTGTTCCACCCTCGTATCAGGCCTGCTTCATTCCTGCCTGAAGAAGGAGAGATCGTCTGAGTGCTTCTGTGCTTTCACCTGCAAATCACCTTCACTGGGGCATTGTACACCTCCTTTCCAGTAATTTCTCTGAACTGTCCTCTCCATAGCTCCCTATTCTTTCAAGATCCAGTGAAAATCTAACTCTGTTAAGGGGAGTTTTCTGTGTTTCACAGTGTAAACTTATCTCCTATTCTCCATGTTCTGTAATACTTCTATTTGTTACTATGCCTTAATGCTTCCCTAACTGAATTAGTACTGTGTTACCACTCTGTAACAGAGCAAAGAATGATTTTTTTTCCTGTTGCCCTTGAGTAGTGTCCAACTCATGCAACCCCAGGTGTGTTAGAGTAGAACTGTGCTCCATAGGGTTTTCAGTGGTTGATTTTCAGAATTAGATCACCAGGCCTTTCTTCTTCACCAGGTTCCTCTGGGTAGATTAGAACTGCCAATCTTTTTGTTTGCTATTTTCAGGAAAACAAAAATAACTGAGAGCTTAACTACACCACCAGGTACTCCTCACTTAGTACAAAGGGCACTAATATTTCATCATCAGAGGGGGCAGTAGAGGTATGCAAAATATCACCACAGTATATTCCTAAAGTAATACTTACAGGAGGCAAGGTTCTGGATGACGATGTATTTGAAACCTTATAAAATTTGTGTGAAACCAATGTGTATAATGAGATTGTGTGGTTTCTCTTAACTGCTTTGGAGAGAGTGGAGAAATAAAAGGATGATTTGTGGGTTTCGATTTCCACCACCAGTGCCACATAAATAACTTGAAAGTTTCTATGTCCTCCCTGAAAGAAAACCTTATCTCCTGTAGTTACATGGCTGAGATTTCAGAAAACAAAACCCAGAGTCTCATCTTGTGAGTGGCTGAATTATAATGCAAACTGATTTCCATCCCTCTCAAGGTGTCTTCTGTTAAAGTGAGGGCATTGATTGGAAAGGAATGGGATTATGGAAATTGGAATGTAGACATATGGGCAGACCCTGATGAAGTTGGGGACATTGAACCACAATGTTCTGATATGGCTTCTTTGCTGGTAGAAGCAGACTTTATACCCCTGTCTAAGGAAATTAACCCTGCTTTGCCAAAAGAACCTGTAATGATCACCTCTCAGGTAGTTTCCATGAAAGACACCGCTGATTCTTCTCAGAACCCACCCAACCACCCCTCTGGGCTTCCAGAATTAAAATTAGACTCTAGTCCCAGCGAGCCCAAAAAGGTGATGTACAAAGTATGACCCATGAGTAGGTATGCCACACTCCAAATAACTGCATGATTTTTCCAATTTCTACAGACAGAAATATAGAGAATATGTGTGAGAATGGATATTAAGGGTGTGGGATAATGGTGGAAGGAACATAAAGTTTAACCACAATGAATCTATTGATATGGGTCCACTAAGCACAGATTCTAGATTCAGTTTCATAGCTCAAGGAGTTAGACCTGCCCACCCACAGCAAGAGAGTCAGAGGACACATCTTTCATCATGATTTTGAGAAATAAATAAAAGACTCCAAGCATCCTTCAAGAACTCTGTGGTTGCTCTTCTTTGTAGGTCAGAATTTACTGCTATTGAACTGATCCTTAAGTGCAATGGAGATAATTGAATCCCAGGTGACGGGGGGCAAGTGGCTGCACTTAACCAACAAAGACAAGGTGTATGTGGTTACCATACTGGACAGAGGAGTCAAAGCAGTAATCAGAATAGTCCAACTCACAGAGACCTATGGTTGATTATAGTCTCCATGAAAGAGAAATAGATAGGCATTCTACTAAATATTTCCTCAGTTTCTATAAGCGGAAGTGCTCTAGGTCAAGTGAACAAAAGTCTGTCTTACGTCACTGAAAGAGAGAGTCATGTCCCTTCAAACAATAGCCAGACTTGAGCCAGCATATACACCCACAATTCCTTGAATGAATGGAAAGCCAGGTCCTCTGAGGAAAGACTTCACTATACTTCCAATAATTTATACTGTTAATCTGTCTCCTAGCCTTTTCCAAAAGGACCTACAGCCTTTTAATAGAGTGATTGTGTGTTTTAATCAGGTGTTTCTAGAGAAACAGACCCAGTACAATAGATAGATGATCAATAAATAGATAGATATAAATATATATAGAAAGAGAGATTGATTCATTGATATTTGAGGATAGTCTCATAAGATTGTGGGGGCTGGCAAGTCCAAAATCTGCAAGTAAGGCTGAAAAATATGGCAGTCTCATGTCTCAAAATCAGTAGATCATGTGGTGGAGGATCCAGCAGAATTTTAGCAAGACGTCTATCTCCTAGAACATAATACTTCCTTGAGAAACTTATATATTTGATTTTAAGGCCTTCAAGTGATCGGATGATGCCCACTGAGATTATGGAAGGTCATTTGTTTTACTGAAGCCTAACTGATTTAATAATAGATAAATATTTTATTACATCTTAACTAGTGTTTCACCAGACAATTGGGCACCATAGCTTAGCCAAGTTGAAGCATAAAACATCACACAGTGCATTGGAGTAAAGAATATAATCACACTTTTGATGATTACTGGACAATAGTAACATACTGGCACTAATTCTAGAAAATCCAAAAGCCAATATATTCCAGCAGGCAGCGTAGGAGCTCATGGAGGTCAGGTAATCAGGTAATATAGAAAGGATGGTAGAAGAATGTTGCTATAAGTAACTGCTACACCCACATGATCAGAGGCAGAACAGGGACTATAATTGTTATGAGTGTTTCTTCTTTATTTCGTTTCGAATATATATATAATATTATTATATATAATATATATATAATATTATATATATATAATATTCAAAACAAAATAAAGAAGAAACACTCATAACTGTACACACACACACACATATATACACCAAAATAAGTTTTCACTGACTAATTTTTCTTTTTTGATTTTCAGAAGTAGATTGCTGGGTCCTTCTTCATAGTCTGTCTTAGTCTGGAAGCTCAGTTGAAACCTCTCCACCATGGGTGACTCTGTTGTAATTTGAAGTACTAGTGGCATAGCTTTCAACATCACAACAACACAAAGCCACCACAATAGGACAAACTGACAGACAAGTGAAAACCTTATAGATAGCAGCCTAACATTGTCTGTTATAGTGCTGGAAGATGAGCCCCTCAGGTTGGAAGGCACTCAAAATACGACTGGGGAAGAGCTGCTCGTCAAGGTAGAGTCGACTTTAATGAAGTGGTTGGAATAAAGCTTTTGGGACCTTCATTTACCAATGTGGCAAGGCTGAAAATGAGAAAAAACAGCTGCAAATATCCATTAGTAATTGGAATTTGGAATGTATGAAGTACAAATCAAGGAAAATTGGAAGTCATCAAAAATGAAATGGAATGCTTGAAGATCAATATCCTAGGCATTAATGAGTTGAAATGGACTAGTACTGGCCATTTTGAATCAGACAGTCATATGGTCTACTATGCCGGGAATGACAAATTGAAGAGAAATGATGTCGAATTCATTGTCAAAAAGAACATTTCAAGATTTATCCTGAAGTACAATGCTGTCAGTGATAGGAAAATATCCATACGACTATAAGGAAGACCAGTTAGTATGATGGTCATTCAAATTTACACACCAACAACTAATGCCAAAGATGAGGAAATTGAAGATTTTTACCAACTTCTGCAGTCTGAAATTGATCAAACAGGCAATTAAGATGCATTGATAATTACTGGTGATTGGAATGCTAAAGTTGGAAACAAAGGAGAAGGATCTGTATTTGGAAAAAATCGCCTGGATGATAGAAACAACGCTGGAGAGGGCATGATAGAATTCTCCAAGACTAATGACTTATTCGTCAGGCGTGGCTGTCAAACAATTATAGAAGGCGTGCATTATTTTTGAAAAAAATACAGTATATATGTGGGACTGGACGTATGGAATACACAGGAATCAAATCAACTACTTCTGTGGAAAGAGACTATGGAGAAACTCAGTATATCAGTCAGATCAAGGCCAGGGGCCATCTGCAGAACAGACCATCAGTTGCTCATATTAAAGTCCAAGTTGAAGCTGAAAAATTTTAAAATGAGTCAATGAGAGCCAAAGTATGATCTTGAATATATCCCACCTGAATTTAGAGACCATCCAAGAATAGATTTGATGCATTGAAAACTAATGACTGAAGACCAGACAAGTTATAGGATGACAGTAAGGACATCATACATGAAGAAAGCAAGAGGTCATTAAAAAGACAAAAAAGAAAGAAAAGTCCAAATAGATGTCTGAAGAGACTCTGTAACTTGCTCTTGAACATAAAGTAGCTAAAGTAAATGGAAGAAATGATGATGTAAAAGAGCTGAACAGAGGATTTCAAAGGGCAGCTCAGAAGAGAAAGTAAAGTATTACAATAAAATGTGCAAGGACGTGGAGTTAGAGAACCAAAAGGGAAGAACATGTTCAACAGTTCTCAAGCTGAAAGAGCTGAAAACAAATTCGAGGCTTGAGCTGCAATATTAAAGGATTCTATGGGCAAAATGTTGAGCAACGCAGGAAGCATCAAAACAAGATGGAAGGAATACACAGAGTCACCGTACCAAAAAGAATTGGTTGAGAATCACCCACTTCAGGAGGTAGAAGATGATGGAGAACTGATGATACTGAAGGAAGAAGTCCAAGCTGCAGTGAAGGCATTGGCAAAAAAAAGGCTCCAAGAATTGATGGAATATCAACTGAGGTGTCTCAATAAATGGATGCAACATCGAAGAGTTCACTCATCTATGTCAAGAATTTGGAAGACAAATATAGAAAAGGAAGGGATACTGCCGGATTCATTCTATGAAGCCAGCATAACCCTGATACCAAAACCAAGCAAAGACACCACAAAAAAAGAAAGTTACAGACCAATATCTCTCATGAATATAGATGCAAACATTTTCAACAAAACTCTAGCCAATATAGTTCAGCATCATATAAAAAATAATAATAATTCACCACATCGAAGTGGGATTCATATCCTGTATGCAAGGATGGTTCAACATTAGAAAATCAATCTATCAACATAATCCACAACATAAATAAAATAAATGAAAGAATCACATGATCATCTCAATCAAAGCAGAAAAGGCATTTGACAAAGTCCAGCATCCATTCCTGGTAAAAACTCTCAAAAAAATAGGTACAGAAGGAAAATTCCTCAACATAATAAAGAGCATTTACACAAAACCAATAGCCAAGATCATTCTTAATGGAGAGAGGCTGAAAACATAATACAAAGTATCTTCTCTGACCACAACACCATCAAGGTAGAAATTAACAACAGGAAGACCAAGGAAAACAAAATGAATTACATGGAAACTGAATAACACCCT